TGTTTGGCGAGGGCCTGGGCTTTTGCCCTGCGGTTGGTGGTGGGGACACACACTGCAAGTGCTCTCAACGTGCAGCAAGCCAGTATTCACAGCGCAAGGGTGCACAAAGAGCCTGAATAAGTCTGTGCTGGGATTTTTAAATGCTGAGACGGCACCAGAAAGCTGATCCGTGGGCTGTGCTTGCTGCCCAGCTCACAGAGCATCCTTATCCCCCACAGGACAGCGGGGCATCAGTCCCGTGTACCGGTGGCAGCCCAAGTCTGTGCTCTAACGTGGAAGCAGAACATGCTGAAGGAAACTTTCTGAGTAGCTTAGAAGTTTTTTTAATATATCCTTCTGATAAATATAAAGCTTGTTAACACAGGTCCCATGTGGCTAGGTAACTACTGCCAAGGGTAGAAGCCATGCCTTGGCTACTCCAGTCAGTGAAGGAAAGGCGAAAACCAGCCACAGCGAGGAAGCACAAATGATCAAGAGCTGCCCTAAAAGCAACTTGCTCACTGACGAAGGCTGATCAGAACAAGACCTGTGCAACCCACGCACCGTGTAAGGCTGGCAAATCCAGCTGTGTGACAGCAGAACAAAATTTTATTCCAGGTTTTTTGAAGCACCACCATGACTGACACAAATGCTCCAGCTGGAAGAAAGCCAACAATTAATCAGGATTCCTTAGAATTTGGAGGTAATTTTAGCAGAACAAGAAATACAGACGTATCAGTGAGTCCTGAACATTCCTCCAGGACAAAAATCTATTACTGCACATAAGTAAGTAAGTCCATTAAAACACTTCATCTAGCCCTTTTAATCCCTCTTAACAGATTTGCTTTATCACAGACAGAGGAGCTAATCCTCTCCCACCTGTCTTTATGATATGGAACCATAAACAAGAGCAAGCACTTTTCATTTGTTAAGCATTATCCCCCCTTGGATAACGCCATCACCCACACTAGCGTTCGCGTAATGAAGCCGTCTTTAGAGAAACACCCCAACTCTCTCGCATTGCCACCCTAGCAATGTGTTCCTCCAGCAGGCAACGTGTAAACTTATTTACCATCTGTTTCCAAAACTCATCCCTTACCACGAGTTTCAAGACACTAAGCAAAGCAAGACGTGAATTCCGGCTTGCTGGAGGGACTTCCCTTTTTTCCTTCATCCCAGACCTTACGCGACACGTTTCAGGACTCCGCTGTGCATAACCAGATGGCAGGCTTGTTCAAATCCGTCACCAACCTGTACAATTAGGTCAGTAGGTCAGCTGAACGTATCGCCTAATTACACCATCGTTTTTATACAGAGGTCTCTTTATTTTTCAAAATAAGATCTCAAAGCTATCTGAAAACGCTTAAGAAATCATTTTTATGATCTACATTGCAAGGGCCCTATGACAGTCTGGCACTGTACAGACGTGTAGAAAGTAACCTGAATAGCCCACAGACAGATTTTGGGCTGAAGAACTGAAATCTGCACTTCAGTCTCCTCATCACCAGAAATCTCATTCGCCTTTTGCAACCCCCCGTACAACAAAACACACTATCTCTAGATGGTCATTCCAGTTGCTAGAAAGTAGAACAGATTATAGTGACCGACCACTTAAGGCATATTTGAAATAACTTTTGTCTCTTCAAGCTGTGGAGGCTTACTTCGTACATCTGTCAGCTTGCTCAATTTTTTTTCCACTAGAAAGACATTCATTTGCTCTCATGCAATCCTGCGTGGTTCTATGCCACAAAATCTGTCTGCCTGAAAGAAGTCACAGTCTTTTCCATAACTCTACGTTCCAGAGGACCTGAAAGTGACCTCGGATATACAGACGTATAGTAAGTACAAACAATACAGCACCTAGCCCAAGAAAAATCCTGTTATTCTCATTGCTTTAACACTGCCTGCTGCAGGTAACCCCTGGCAATTCGAATACCATTTCAGACATGCAAGGAACCGTTATCTCCTAAGGAACTGCAACCTGAAGTTATTCCCAAAGTTTAGTTAGTAAAGGGAGCACTAGTTAGTGTGACTAGAGCGGGGGGTTTGTTGACGTAGCTCGTGGTGGAAGATAATCATTAGAAGACAGAGTACACGTGGGTCCTTTGGGCTTTCTTCTCTTCTTCTAGGAACCAAACCAAACCCCCACAGAAGTCACCTGGCTGAAAAAAAGAGACAGAGGTAAGGAGTGTAACGTTTTTCTTGAGGAGGAATAACTAACACCCTTTGAGCAAACTTACTCCACACAGAGCTGGGCCGTATCCAGTTACGAGAAGGCAGGTGGCCGGGTATTTTTGAGCGTCAATACGCAGTCTTAAAAACGGTCCTATCTGACCAACGGTGAGCGCCTGACAAGGATTTCATTGTCTCCCAAGGGCTGTTTGCAGCTGTCACTGTTAGAGAAGTATCAGCAATAGGAAAGTAGTGCAAAGCAAGTCGCCTGCTCCTCAGAAACATTCTTCTCTTGGCTTTGCTTCATCTCATGAAGAAGAATAAATCTTGGAAAGCAGACTTTGTATATATATACCGCCGCCCCACAAGCCTCCCAGCCTGTCAGTTTTGTCAGGCCAAGGCTGGGAGAGCAGTATTCCCAACTGGATACTGCAAAGCAAGTGGTTTCCTAGACGGAGCCAGATGATGATTTCACTTTATACCTCACAGAAGTCAGCCGTGCCATTTAATAAAGAACGCAACTTTTCAGTCAGCTCATTACAACACTGGATCAGCTTTGACAGAGTTAACTACAAAAGCCGAGCTTATTCAAATCATCAATATGCTAGGAGTCAGAACAGCTTGAATACGGCAATTCAAAGCAGCAGGACTTCAGAACGCAAGATATGACACATTTGTCAAGTTATTACTGTGTTCTCAAAGCGGAGTTTCTCTACAACCACTTACTCTGAATACCATGTGAAATTACACCCATTTAATAAACTTCCTACTTTAGAAGAATTGTGGTGTTCGCCGTGACCCACATGACAGAAGAGGGAGGTTTCCCCATTCACTCTTAATGAAAAGCTTTTTTGTTGAATATGTGTTAAATGGCCACAAGGAGCTGTGACACTTAGGTCACCCTTAAGAGCCTTTAATTTAAAGACAGAAGATAGAGTCAGCTGACATTGGGAAAACCTATGGGAAAAGAACCAAACCAGCCGTAGACACAGGCACAAACACTCCCCCCGCCCCCGCTGCCGAATTTCAAGGCTAGCAAACTACAGCAACACAACCATTATTTTTTTTATCCTGCCTCTTGCTCTTTATTTAGATTTGAGCTTGGTAAATTCAGTACTTCAGCTGATGTACAACTTAACCAGCCAAGAAGCTCTGTAGAGGAAAATTTAAAATAGGTTTACATGTTAACTTGGTATTCTTTAGGGAACAAAAAAACCCTTGAAGTTATGGTTTCCTCCTCCACAACTGTATTTCCAAATGCTTTGGTAAATAAATAGGGCCTACGCTTCTTGGCACTGTTAAGCACAACGTATACATTCAATTGCATTAAATATCCCGTAGCAAAAACTTACTTGATATATAGTTAGCAAACTTAGAAGTAGGTAAACTAAACTAGAGCACAGACTAGTGGTTTTGAAGGATCAACAGGAAGTTATTTGCTACCTGATAGACCGCAAGGAGGAGAAACCCCAGCGACCCAGCAATATGCATACGTAGCTCACAACCTGTCACTGTAACAAAAGAACTCAAGAGCCATTTTCATTAATTAATATATTTTCTGCATTATAGTTAACATATGTACTTTCTTCGTGTCATCCTTATTTCGTTAAGTATTGATATTTTGTTATATTCAGACATGAGTACATTTTCAAAGTCTTTTGCAATAAATATCATAAAATAATAGAGATTCACATAATAAATATTCTTTACAATAAAAAAAGTTTTAACAGACTTTTGTCTTAAAAATAGTTGGGATTCAACTTTGTTTTATACATAAAATATACAAAAAAGGACCACAATTTGTGGCTAAGGCAATAAAACAGGGACAGAATAAAATTATAAAGTACAGAGCAGAGCTAAATTCACTAAACCAAAGGATCACAAGAAACTTTAAGGATTCAAGAACATTTAGGTGACTCAACAACACCTGAAGGCTGTTTGGATATATGAACACTGCCAACTTTAATAGCAACTGATACTGATAGCCTATAAAAACAGGAGCAGGAGGGTGGAGTGAGCAATATCCTTCAAAGATCTGACAGCAAAAGAAACAAATGAGTATGTTGCAGCCATAATGTCTCCAATGTGAAGATCTACATAGTGTAGCAAAAACTGAAGTTACATTGAAAATGTAAAAAAAAGGAGGCAGGGTAATTCTCAGGACTGAGAATGTTCCAAAAGTTAAGACAAAAAGAGAAGGGGGGGGAAGTACGGAAAGAAAAAAGCAGGCTGCTTATAGAAGAGTCAGGCCTTTCATTTGGTAAAGCCTTTATTTTACATCCCTCTCCAGAAAGAACACACACAAGAAGTTATTTCACAATCCAGCTCACTCATGACAGGGGGTTAAGGAAAAAAAAAAAAAATTGCTGAGAACGAAAAACATCTTTGGGAAGATATCCACAGAGCGAGAAGCTTCAAGAGCCCAGTGAGCCCTCACCGTCTCTTTCAGGAGTGGTTCAGTTACAAACTCAAAAGACCCTGCCAAAGTGAGCAGCAGATGCAGATACCAGGTCCACACTTACCAAAGAGCAGCAATGACTACGTAAAACGCTCCACACTCAGCCAACTCAATAGGAAGAGGAGAGCAAAGATGCAAAAGGAAGAACTTGTGTATTTGAAGTTAGGGAGACAGAAAGGAAAGCAAAGGAACAGCTCCCCCAAAATGGGGGAGGGGAAAAAAAAAAAAAAAAAAAAAAAAAAAAAAAAAAAAAAAACCACCAAAAAAAAAAAAAAAAAAAAACCCCCCCAAAAAGGGGGGGGGGAAAAAAAAAAAAAAAAAAAAAAAAAAGGAAAAAGTCAGCTACAACCTGAAAAACTGAAGTTGGAGGAAGTAAACCTCCCTCCAACAATCATGAGGGCTTGCCCTGACCCCGGGAGGGGCAGCTCTCCAGTTTACAATAGACCGTGTTGGAGTTCTTGCATCGGCAACCCGGACGATTGATGCGGTCGTAACACCCTCGACAGAGTTTTAGGCATCCTTTTGCAGGAGGGTAGCAGAGCAAGCAAGGCAAGAACAAGGACATGGCTCCCATGCACAGGTACCTAGAACAGCAGTGTGACTGGGAACAAGAGCAGGGATTATCCGCGTAAGAGTCCCCTTCATCGTCGTTAGAACAGTGGTAGAAGATCCCTTTGACCAAACACATGCAGGTGCTGTACTCCACCATGCTCTCCGCAGAGCACAAGCACTGCCGGTTGCAGGCCAAGCAAGAAGGGAGGGCCCTCGGGGCCGTGCACTCGCCACACTTGCACTTCCCGCACTGTTCGCAGATAAACTTGTGCTGCGTCAAGTCCTCTTTCAAAGGACCCTTCAGGTCATCTATGATCAGAGACGACTGCTTGGGCTGCGTCCGGATTGTCCGATCCGATCTGTGGCCCGAGCCCAGCCTGGATGGAGGCGACCGCCCCAGCAGCCCTTGCTCCGAGGAAGCACTGCTGTTGCTCCCAGAGCTGGCTGCGCTCCCCGTGCTGGTCGATCTGCTCAAGACGGGAGCCCTCGCATTATGCTGATGTGCCACGTGCCCCACGTGACTGGGTCTGTGTTCATAATTATTATTCACATTAATTGGTATAATTTCGTGAGTCCTTTCATGCTTCTCTTGCCTCGGTGCTGTCCGCGGCCCAGATTTTTTCACCACAGATGGACCTTCGGTGTATTCATTGCTGCCCCTGATCGCCTTGATCTGGTCCAGTGACAAGATAGTTGTTGGCTGGCTCTCCCTTTCATAGTCCAACCGCTGCCGGCTGTCCAAGGAGGGCTGCTGAATCACCACTAGCGAACCACCACTGCCATGTTGACTTTGGGGCTCCATCGGTAGTGATCTCTGCTTCTGGCATTCAGTGGGAACCTGGCATGCATCTGAAATCCTAAATTAAGAAGAAGACGACAGAAGGTATAAATAAACGTCGTGCGTGTACATATATACACACATACACAAGATCAAGGGCAAAAGAGGAATACAGAATGGGATACTTCTGAAAACAGAAGTGACATGGCAAACCACAAATTGCCCTGGCCACCTGGTACTGATCTCTTTCAGCAGGGGATTACGACAACGCTGAGGATCTGGCCAAAGTCCAGTAACGGGGAGAGCCTGGGTATGGCATCAGAGATGAGGAATTCAAAGGAGACCCCATGCCATTTAAAAAACCAATCAAAAAGAAAAAAATTCCAGTACTAACCTGTACGCTTACTTGGCAAGCCACGGAAAGTGCTTCTCACTTGCTACTGAACTCAATGTCTGTCTAACTAGTAACAGCGATGCTGAGCGCCCTCAAAAACTGAGCGGGAAAGGGGCAAGGACGCTGCCAGGTTCACGTTCTGCACGGCAGAGCAAAGAGCACGCACAATTCTCACTCTTCTGTCCGGATGTGCAGCATCAGAAAGCTCAACAGATTTGCTTCCTAGCACATTTGGAAAGTCTCCTTTGCGAAGTGACGTAGGTGCATTACAGAGTCTCACACCAAGTGCTGTCAAGGGGCCAAGACGTTTTCTCTAAGAAAGTAACTCGGCGTGCAAATCTAGTGTGCTCCTTACAAAATTAGAGCAAGGGTGCAAAAGCCCGTTTTCAAGTATTTTCTGACCACAGGCCAGGGTGTGAAAGAAAAAGGGGTGGAGAAAGCTAAGATGAACTAGGTGTCAGATAAAAAGTACCTGAGGATTCATAAGAATGTCAAGAGCAGATAACCAAAAAAACCCCAAAAAGCCAACCTCAAAATACAATCAAAGAACAAATCCATTTTCACAAGACAAACAGATTAAAAACTTCTCAAATAAATGCATCATCTTCTAGTCTATCTTTTAAATAAATGCTATGCACTTTCATTCTGCCTAGCTCTCGACATAAAGATTGCAACGCTGACTGAGAAAACTGCAGTGACAGTTCTGTACCTATACAAAAATGTAGATGAGTATCTAAAATGCCACGTTTATACCGAGAACCAAGAAAATTAGCTGCTTTGCTTTCCTGACAGCTGGGGGAAGAGTCCCTTTTCACTCCCCCTGCCCCCCCCCCCCATTTCCCCCC